GCTCAGTCTAGCGGTCACGCTGTCAGCAGACGCTTGTCATGAACAGTCCGCTCCAGCGGCGGCACACTCTCCGACAGGCGCCTGCTACAAGCAGCTCGGTGAGCAGTCGTACACTGCAAGCGGTCACCTATCCGGCACCGCCGCTACCAGCGGCACCGCCATCGGCCATCACCTGGCACCAGTCGGTCAGCTCAGCGTCACACCACCAGCAGTCACCAGTCGGCATGACTCCCCCAGTGGAGCACCCGGCGTCCCCGCCTCCCCCCACGCAGCCGCCCGTCCCGTACCGGCGCGCACGCGGATCCTGTCGCGCACGTTCAGGTGCGCCAGCAGGTAGAGCAGCACCTCCTCGGGCAGGCCGTTGATGTGCGGTGCCGCCGGCGGCCGGGGCTCGGCGGCCGGCGGCGCGCGCCGCCGCTCGCTGCGCCGCCGGCCGCCGCTGGCCGGCCGGCGGCGCTTGGCCGGCGCCGCGCTGGCCCATCCGGCCGCCGACGGCGGCGTCGCATGCTGCGTGCGCTTCCGCAGCCGCTGCGACCAGCTGTCGGCGTCCATGGAGGCGACGCGGCCGGCACTGCGGGCGGCGGGTTACGGACGGGCAGCGTGAAGGTGCGGTGGTCCGCTGGTCAGGGCCGTGGACCGTGACCACGGACGGCACGACGGCACGGCACTGCTGAAGACGGCACGGCACGGAGAGCGCGGGCTGAAGACGGCACGGCACGGAGAGCGCGCCATTACTCGACCACCGACCACGCGAGATGATTAACTATCTAGCTTCCAAGACTGTGAATACATATGAGTGCTGAATTGCTTGCTAGGCAGTGCAAACTGCCATTGGTCTGATATGTGTGTTAAAAGTTGTCCTGGCTTGAGTAACTATTTGAGCAAATAACATTTATGTTGACTACAAGCAAGGCCAACAGTCAAGTGTGTTATCCCATAACTGGCACTTTTTAAGCTTTAACAGCCTTCATAGTTGTCACTTGTCATATCAGTAAGCACTGTTCAGTAAAAGGAGTTTAAGTATTGAACTGCAATAATGCCATATTTGCATGCATGCTATGGCAGCAGTAGGCATTTCCTGCAACACTGCAGGATGCCAGAACTTCCCTCCCCCATCCTATCCAGATGGGAACAGGTCTCAGGCATAAGCAAACCTGTAGGCCAGGCTGTGCAGCTGGTCATGTCCACCTTGGTGCCACCCTGGGATCCACACCTTTCAATGCAGTTAGGGATTCACAATCTTTGAACATTTAAATGATTGCTGTCTGACAAGCAAATGCAAATGGGTTTGATAAAGATCTGACACTAACTGCCTGATGAGGTGGAATATAGTGCCTCAAAATCAATGGGCAATCTTATCACTGGGCAACTCAAAGGTGTGTCAGTGGCTGCCCAGGAAGTGATCACTGCTGCTTTTCAATCAGCTCTTGAATGCCCACATGGGATGTGGCTTAACTCAGGGCTGGGCAATGGAAATGGCACAGGCATGATATCCAGCTCCATGCTGTCAATATTCACCAAAATATAAATGTTATGTTGTGACTTCTTTGACTATGCTAAAGAAAATGAGCACTTATTCAAACCCATCAAAGCCTTATCCAGAACATGTTTGGTGCCAGGTCATCACCAAGTCATGTTTGTTGTGAATAGGTGCCCAACTGTACCTTGGCAAACATTTCTTTCTTCTAAAAGAAATGAAAAAGAAATGCCCCAGTACAATGATCAGAGCCATTACCATGAGTTCCCACAGCTTATTTTCCTCTCAAAACAAATATCATAGGCTAAAACATGTTTTGCCCCAAACTACCATTGGTTTGGTTCATGCCTGCATAACTGCTTTTTTAAATACCAGCCATGTCCCTTCCAGTGCACTCCAGTCACCTGATCTCAAAATTATTCATGCAAATGGCATCTAAGTATTGGAGAATTCATGCTGATCCTGATTTTCTCATTGAGTTCAGACATGTCCCAGCATTGACATAAATATTTGAATTAGTCCTGCATTTGTTCCATCATGAAAACTGCTATTGATCCAAATGTTGCTGGTTTGTACAATGTCATATGCATAAAATACTTTAAGCATATGAAATATGAAGTTTTTAATATAAATATATAAGTAGGCATGGTAATATAACTATCTAAAGCATCTACCATACCTATAAGAGACAATACACATGGAAAAACTATGATATGCTTCATATGCATCTTTCATACATAAACTAGGTAGCTACCCTTAAGCTGTCTTTCAGAACCAGTTGTGAATTATAAGACATGTTGTTCAGTGGTATTTTGAAAGTATTTATAACTGAACATCAATTTTTGTTCACGTGTGAACAACTCTTAAAATCACTGCTATCTTTAAGCATAGCTGTTCAAGTTTCAGTGTGCCTAGATTGTCAGGTTTCCTCTTGTTACATATCATCATACATTTGAAGATATTGGCCCAGAAATAGCATAATATATGCAAAATATAAAGGGGATTATAAATGCAAAACTTAGTTTCTTTATACACATCTAAATTTTCTTTTGACTGTTTATAACCAAGCCAGTTTTCACCATGTCTTACACCAGCCTAGTGACCGATCACTACCACCTGGTACTGGTTTTTCATGGTGATGATTTGTTCCATAGCATAAAAAACAGCTTGCACAAGTGGCAATGCTGTAGGTCCCCATGGTTTGAAGGGATTACAATACCATCTCCTGGACTGGAGCTGTTTCTTGTTCTAAGGCAACTCAAATTGTAGGATATGAGCAAGCCTCATCTCTTTAACACAAGGCTCAAGTCACTGATAGGCTCAAGTCCCTCACAGAAGAAAAAGCAAGTCATTATCATAAAGAATATTCAGCAGGCTGCATAGTAAACTTCTGCCTCACCATCTCCTCCAGCTGAGTGGAGTTGAACACAAAAGAGCTAATCTTCAACACCCTTACATGGCATTCATACCTGAGATGACAAAGCAAGACACCATTTGGCGATCGTCATACGACCACGGCATAATATATATTTTCCTGATTTGTTGAGAGAAATACTGGCGCATTCGTCACGTGCTACGGACGCTTCATCCGGTTCTCCACTCACAGAGCCACCATAGTAATGCTGGAGCTGCTCGATATAGACCAGTAGCCATCAGGGAGAACTGTTGAATCTGAAAAGGCCTTGTTACCGATACATAGGCATATTCTGGCAGCCACAATGGGGACTTACGAACGGCAGTAGGCAATGATCCCCGCGCACTCCTTTGCTCTAGGACGTAAACACAATTTAATGCAAGGTAAGCTCAGAGTGCATTGCGAACTGTTCGCTAAAACGCTGCAAAGAGAAATACTGTTGTATATTCACGGTTGTTATTTATCACCTTGGTTGGTAACTTCTCAATGACCACGGATGGAATAAATACTTGAGCTATCATATTAGTTTCGTGTATAAGTGGACACACAGTATTTCAGCAAGTTAACTCTCCGGTCGTCGTCAGGTGTTATTGAGCGCTGAGAGGGGTTGGATAATGGGCTATTAGCCATCAGGCGTCAAAACCCGAATTCTCTCCTTGGAATTGCCGGGATCTTTTAATTGCAGGTCTTCAGTGTTTTGCAAATTGGTGCTCTACCAAATGAACTACCGGGACAGGACCTGGACGAGCACGGCAGCCCGAACAGCATTTTCATCCGTGATTATTTTACTTCGTCTCAATCCCCCCTAAAACTGTGGCCGCAAGGAAATTTGACAACATCGACGAGGCTTTATGTTGAAGTTCAGCATATTGCATGGGCGTTCATCGAATTATTCATGATATTAGCATGTCATATGATGTGATTTTATGGTTCGTCATATGTCATAAGGTGCGCAAACTGGGAAACATTCATTTCCATCCAACTGGTCTTGGTGCTCAAACTCGTGAAATATTGTTGCTCCGGCGAATTAGCAACCAGATTTTTAGTATATTTATATATAGAACAGCATGTCAATGCAAATTTAGAGCTCAAAATAGCTGCGGTGGCTAAATTCGATGTTTTGTGATAGCTAATCTAAAGCATTTATTTCGTTAGAAATTGTAAATGCTAACAAGCCAACACAAAAAATAATAAATATTACGCAAATAATTGGCAGTTACATTCTGGTACATTTATGGCGCATCTACTCCATTTATGATTTCTCCACCCGCCAAGATTTACTGACGTTTTAGGTTTGGGGGATTGGTTGAGTCGGGGGCAGGCGTTGTATTTGCTGTGCGGTTTAGTAGTGTAATGCAAACTGGTATTTGCGTGCAAGAGCTGGTGATGGATGATTAGGGGTTGTTCGACGCGTTGAGTGTGAAACAGAGTGAGTTAATACACGTGGCACGCACCATTTTGTGACTTTGGTGTTCAGTGCATGCTCATTACGGGATGTGTGACATACTTGTTGGTTTCTTATTATAATGGGATTGAGTCTCACCTTTATCTAGCTTTAAAGCAACACCCAAGTCACATTCTGACCATTCTGAAACCATGGTGTCTGCTCCTCCAACCACTGTCAGGATGAGAGGTGATGTCAGATAGTCTTGGCATCTGAATGTGGGATTAAACCTCAATGACACAGTCTGGACATTTTACAGCATCTGGATTCATTATTTGGGATGTTTTTCACTGTTCAATCCCAGTTTCAACATACAGGAACATTTATTTTATTGTGAAAGAGGATAAATGGTTATTTGTGTGCAATGTGCCGAATTCATCTTTCTATACACACATTCAAATATATACCTGCCAAAATATTTTGAATAATCAAATGAAAAGATATTTCTAACAATAAATGGTGAATAGGAAACAATTCATGAAAAGCCCTGTAGCATAACAGCAATACTTTTGGTACAAAAGGAACTATGTCTGATCAATAGAGCATACCTATGGTAACAGGCACTGAGGTGAAGGGTGTGGGATGGGTTTGCAAAAAGTCTAACAGCAAAGAATAAATGCTGTCAGTGCTGCTCATGATATCCTAGCCCACAGATTACACTACTTTTGATTTGTGCAGTACCTCAGTGATAAGATGCAGACTGGATCAAAGTGAGCCAGAAATGATGCAAAAGGTTTACTTATAAAGTGACCAGTTTTCATGCCAAGGAGCAATGGTGGGTGAGGTAAATGTGTCCTTTATGTTTCAAACAGAGTAATTTTCAGTTTCTATCATTGGGGTAGACATCATATGTGTGGACATAAATCCTGGTGTCTCACATGCAGTTATCATGAGAGTTACTTATGAACAGAAGGTATGGTGTTCTGCTAACACATCCAGCTAGGATTCTTTGTGACATCACATACATTGGTTATGATCATGGCACTTGCATTCAAGATTGTTTGGGACAGCTGTGATTGCATGTTTAAAATGACATGAACAATTTTCACTTAAATTATAACCATGAATAAAGTAAGTTGAGAAGATATATAATAAAGACAGCTGTGATTGCATGTTTAAAGTGACATGAACAATTTTCACTTAAATTATAACCATGAATAAAGTAAGTTGAGAAGACATATGGCATGACAAGTTGTTGACAATTTCACCAGAGCTATGTGAGGCACGGAGCAGTATCAGTGCACACTGAGCATCATGGGTGTGTTTGCAAATGCACATTAATGTCTATGATTTTGCAGTGTTCTGTTTAAGTTGTATGAAAGGAAAGCTTTTCTTGCAAAGGTAGGGATCTTCCATGTCTCTCACTGATGGCTGTGTTCATACCCCTTGACCTTTCCATTATCAAAATTCCCCTTCTGTTATAAAAAAAATAAATAAAGACATGTTGTGGGTTGGTCCAGAAAGCTCCAAAATCAAGAATAAAGAGCAGCAACTCACTTGGTTGCAACAGGTATCAACACATGATGCTATGTATGTTATATCAACACACAATGTATGTTTTGACCACATTGCCACCCTCAGATCAGCGCGCGCCACACTGCCGTACCTGTGACGTCGTGGGATCGCGCGACGCCGCCTGCCGCCGAGCGGAAGACGATGGCGGCCGCGGCCACGGCGGCCGAGCGGCCGGACGGCCTGCGCGACGAGCTGCGCCGCTTCCTGAAGGCAGCCACCAACGAGACGCGCCTCAGCCAGCCGGAGCTGACGCACATCGCGCTCCGGCTGCTGAAGAGCCTGCCGGCCGCGCGCGACGCCGGCCTTGAGTACCTCAGCTCGGTGCTGGACGGCTGCACGGCTCAGTTCGTCGCCAAACTGGAGGTAGGTGCTGGCCAGCGGACGTGGTGGTATTCCGCGTCTGTTGATGGGAACAAGCGTGGCGCGCGTCTGGCTGTGTCCGTTGGGGTCCGTTTTGACACCGACTAGGCCTCTGACTATGGACATTGAGCTTCCTTTGTTTCGTAAGCCATGCGTTAGTGACGAACTCGTAACACCGGATTTGCTCCTAGCTTGCATCCGCATGGCTCAAGCTCAAACACGTGCCTAGTCATTGGATAAGAAGTTGCTGTGTTCGGCGTCTCCATCAGCGACGATTACGTCGCTGCCGTCGCTGCCGCCACTGCCGACTGTGTCGCCATCACGAGAGTCGGGCGCGTGCTTTGCGGCAGGAGGGTGACGTGCCGGAGAGCGCGGCGGCGGCCGGCGAGGACGAGTTGGTGGGCGAGATCAGTCAGGCGCTGTCCGGCCTGCTGGAGGCCAACCCGCACACCTGGGCGCCTGTCATCTCGGCCTGGTCGCTCGAACTGCTCGGTACGGCACGTGTGCGGACCCCGCCCCTCCGCCCGCGAAGCGCACCGACGACAGCGGCTGGCCGGCGCTAGGCGGGCCGGTAGACCGCGCTGGCCGCTGGGCCGCTCGGGTAGCAGCAGCTGGTGAATATGCCTGGAGGTAGCAGGTAACCTGGCCGGTGGGCGCAGCTCGAACGTGGCGTGTTGAATATGCCTGGAGGTAGCAGGTAACCTGGCCGGTGGGCTCAGCTCGAACGTGGCGAACTGGATCGCTGGCGTGATTCTGGGGCCTCTTGGACACATCGCCGTCCAGAAGCCCGGTGCTGCGTATCCGAGCCCGGAGTCCCTGTCCGTTGGTATAATCCTGCCATGCCGACGGACGTCTGTTGTTGACGTGCGCCGGTGGCCTGCCGCTCCGGTCCTGACGTGGCGTGGGCCGTCTCGGCTGCTTCCACGTGTGAGCGGCGCCGTCGAGCCCGCACTGACGCCCGACTCGCGGCCAGGTCGCCTGTCGTCCCGGTACTCGGCGCGCGCGCACGTGCCGCACTCGGCCGGCCTGAACGACCTGGTGCAGCTGTGGCTGTGCTGCCCGGCCACGCGCGCGCTCATCCACGTGACCGTGCTGTGCGTGCGTCACGACACGGACGTCTGCATCAAGCCGCTGCTCGGTCAGTCCCGGCCAGCGCCGCGCCATCGGCGGGGATATGCCCCCCCCCCCCCGCACACACTCCACACAGCCCCCCCCCCCCCCCCCACTCTACACATGTCCTCCTCCCCAGGGGACACGTGTACGGCTGGTGGCTAGAAACGTACTCTGGAGAAGTTGCGTGGCCGCCTGAGGGCGCCTGTGTGTTTAATAAAGTGTTGTTAAATATGTATTGTGGGTTAAGTTGAGGGTTGACTAAGTTACCTTGCAGACGGTCGTGGTTTGTTCAGCAGTGATGTTCGTCAGCCATTTGATGCCTCTCCGTCATGGTGTTTACAATATCACAGCCAGATTTCAACCCAAAGCAAAACCTGGGCCGCGTGTTCAGTGTAATGAGCGCGGCTGGTGTGTTCGACTGAGTCTGGTCATGTGTGCGTACTTACACTCGATGCCGCCTCCACCCCCCCCCCCCTCCCCCCTTCCCCGCGGCCTGAACAGGCGACTGACCGCGCCGCGTCCGCCGCAGACACGTCGGCAGCGTACACGCCGCACTTCGACTGGGTGGTGGCGCATATCGGCTCTTGCTTCCCCAGCACCATCATCGAGCGCGTGCTGAGCGTGGGACTGCGCGAGTTCTGCGCCCAGCAGGCGGCGGCGCCCGGTGAGCAGACGCCGCCCGAGCTGGGCGGCCCCGGCGCCGGCCAGTCTCGCCAGGCTCTGCCGGGGCCTCGGCAGCGGCCGGCGGCGGCGCTGTCGCGGTCAGCGGCCGGGTTGTGCAGCGGGAGCCGGCGCCGCGTGAGCAGCCTCGCGCCCGCTGCGCTTCAGCGTAGCGGCGAAGACGTATTGTATTTAGCTTGTGGGTGCTGGGCGTAGCAAAAGCCAGTGTGAAGGCTACAGGACGTGCAGCAGGCGCTGCTTCCATCAGCAGCTGGTGGCAGGGCGACGTCACGGGGATCAGCGTGATGTCACTGCGATCTGCGTGACTGTCCTGGTCGTGACCTCACTGTCCGGGCAGCGGGCCTGGGATGTGAGACACTCTGGCTCACGCCAGCTCTAGCTGAGCTGACCTGCTGCACGCTGCCTCAGGGGGCACTCCGGGAAAGCGGAGCTCGGTCGTGCAGATCCTGGGGCATCTCGCCGCCAGAAACTCGGCTGAAATCTGCGACGCCCTCAAGGCCTTGATCCAGGTAGAAATGCCGGGGACCGCGCGTGTGTAGCACCGCACTCCGCGTTCGCCCGATTGTCGCACCATACCGCGTTCAGAGGCACCGTTAAGTTATCGACTGCCGATGCACACCCTCTGTATGTTGTCAGGCTGCAGTGTTTGCGAATGTAGTTGTTAGCGTCGGCCGCAAAATGCTTCAGCAGATCTTTTAACTGTTAGTTGATAAGAATGACGGTAGTAAGATCGCGGTAGCGTTGTGAAAGCCCGTTCCTGTTCGCGCTGGCCATCACTTTGCGTTAGTCCGTGTCGCAGTGTGATGAGCTCTGTGAAGCCGTGTGGGCCCGTTTCGCGATGAGTCTGCCCCGTGGCGCGGCGTCAGCAGTGGCCCAGTGTGGTGTGCCGTCGCCGCCGCCACCGCCGTCGCCGCCGCTGCGCCGTCCGCCGCTGACGCCGCGTCCCCCGCGTCCGGCAGCAGAGCTTGGGCCCGTCGCCGTCGGCTGCGCCAGCTGGCCCGCCGGACGAGGTGCGGCTGGCCACGGTGCCGTTCTTCCTGCAGCTGGCCGGGCTGTCGCCGCTGCTGCTGGACACGCTCTCCACGGAGATCCTCCGCACGGGTGGGGCCCGCCGTCGTGTCGGTGAACGGCACCCTCGCGGCTGTCGCCTTGGTTACGGGATGTCCTTCGGCTCACTAACTTCGATCGGCTCTCTGTGGGAGCATTGCCTCCTTCCTGGGGGTGCTCATGTTATATGTCGTATCATCCCATCTTATATGTCCATTATGTTATAGCTTTCTTGGCGTAGATCTGATCAAACATCCAGCGACGAGCGTCTTGATCGTTTCCCGCCCGCGACGTCACCGTCGGCGGCCGGTGACGCGGCCTCGTGACGGGTGACGTAACGGTGACGTGACGGCCTGCCTGCCGCAGTGACGGTGGCGCAGCTGGCCGCGGTCGCCGCCCAGGTGCCCGGCTGGATCCCGCGCTACTTCGCCACCGCCGAGGCACTGCTCTCGCTCACCGTCCACCTGGTGCTGCGCTGCGAGCGAGGCGCGCTCGCCGCGCTCCAGCTGCTGCTGCGCGCCGCCGATCCGGACTCGACGCACGGCGACGACGTGCGCCGCGCCGCCGAACACCTGCTTGGTGAGTCTGACCGACGCGACCCTGCCTCAGAGCAGGCATCCACCAAACTGGAGGGATCGCATACCTGCGATGTGTGAGGTTGCAGGGACATTGAGGTGCCGTGGAGGCAGAGATGTGACTCATGATGACTTGGGGCACCCATTTCTTGTTTGTAGATCGTTGTTGCAACTTGTAACCAACCTGCGCCGTGGAAGCCCTGCCCGTCCACCTTAGTATGCTTTAGGCAAGTCTGTGGTCGGGGCTTTGTTAGTCTGCGTGTTTGCTCTCACCCGTACCATGTTTAAAACTTGTGCTGTCGTGCGTGTCTGCTGTCTCGCACGGCGGTGCGTAACAGCGGTAGGTGACGATGTCCGTGCTGTGGTGTGGGGCCGACAGTGCGTGACAGCGTTGCTGACAGTGTCCATGCAGTGGTGTGGGGCCGACAGTGCGTGACAGCGGTACTGACGGTGTCCATACAGTGGTGTAGGGCCGACAGTGCGCCGCCTTCCTACACTCACTGTCTGCCCCCGCTGTGTGCGTGCGTGCCGACAGAGCGGGTGCTCTCGGAGCTGCAGCGGCTGGTGCTCGGCTGTCAGCCGGGCTCGGCGCCGGACGTGCCGCTGCTGGTCGCCCTGCCGGACGCGCTGCCCCAGCTGGCCGCCCATCTGGGCGCCGACGACCAGCGCGCGCGCCGCTGCGTCCAGTTGCTGGCCACGGCGGCCACGAGTCGCGGCGCGTCGGCGGCGGCGCACACACTGGGCCGCCTGCTGGAGCGGCCCCAGCTGCGGCTGGCCACCCTGCTGCGCCTGCTGCGCGCGCTCGAGAGCAACTTCGCGTCGGTGCTGGAGGAGGCGATCCGGCACGCGTCCGCCGAGAGCGCGGCGCCCGAGCAGGTGCTGCGTTCGGTGGTGCGGCTGCTGCGCTGGGAGCGACGCCGGCCGCCGGCCGCCGCCGCCGGCCTGCAGACGCCGCTGTCGCAAGCCGTCGCCGCCTGCGCGCCGCTGCTGGCCGAGCGGATGACCGAGCTGCGCACCGCCGACGCCGCCGTCGAGGCGCTGGCGCTGCTGGAGCTGCCCGATTCGCTGGCCGGCAGCCGGCAGCTGGCGCTGGCCGACAGCGTGGTCGGCTATCTCTTTTACTGCATGCGTCGCGGCGACCGGCCGGCGGTGATGCTGCGACGCGCGCGGCTGGCGCAGCAGCTGCTGGCGCGGCTGGCGGCGCAGCCCGTCTGCCTGCCGGCCGTGCTGCGTGCGTTGCTGCACGCGGCGCTGCAGCCGCACCAGGCGTCGTACTTGGGGGCGGCGGGCGGCCGGCCGGCGCCTGGGCCAGCCGCCCGCCCCCTGCTGCAGGAGAACCGGCGTCTCTCGCGGCTGGTGACCGTGCCGCAGGCGCACACCACGGTCTTCCACGCGGGTGTGATCGGCGCCGGGCGCCGGCCCGGGCCGGCTGCCGCCCTGCTGCCGCCGGCCGCCGCCCGGCTCAACTGCGAGCTGCTGGTGGAGACGGTGGCGCGCTGTGTGGCGGCGGCGCGCGCGCCCGAGGACGGCGCGCGCACGCTCGCGCTGCTGCTTGTGGAGTTCATCTCCCCTGACGTCATGTTCAACGGCCTTCCCTGGCCAGATGAGGAGTTTATGAAGGTGGGCGAGCCGCGGTCCCTGTGTGTGTCATTGGGGCTTTACGACGCACTCAGCTGCTGAGGCTATCTGGCGTTGCCTACCTCTCACTCTGGCAGGAAGGGCGGGAACCGCGGGGTAGCCAAACCCCATACCTCTGGTTTCCCAGACGCGCAGTGGTTAACGCAGACGAGTGAACCACTACACCACCGGCACCCCGAGCCGCGGGCCCGGGCCACACTATCAGCATCACTGGCGTGGCAGTCGGTAGCAGGGCTGCCAGCAGCAGCACGTCACCGCCGGTCATCCCATACTCTCCTCAGGCGCGCCATTGCTGGCTTGGGTTGTGGGCTGGTGAAACCGTGTTTGAAGTCGATGGAGGCAGCCGCTGGGCATCTGCCCTTGAGTTATATGTCCGAGCATGAATTGCATTGTCTTAACGATGGCTTACCGCCCCGTGTCGCCTCCATCCCTGTTCGTCACCATGCCCCTACCTTCCTCTGAGCGGTGAACGCGAAACCCACTCGTTCCCCACATACTGCGGCGCGTAGTGTAGCCTGGCCTTTTGCATGTGGCTCCGACTGGCGGCGCGGGAGTCGAGTTCATCCCCCTTGATTATGAGCCGCGTCCCGCACGTGTTCCAACGGCCGGCCGTCCGCCGCGGGCGGCGCCTCTGACGAGTGGCCGGGTCGCGCGCCAGGTGACCATGGAGCGGGACCTGGAGATGCGCCGCTTCTTCGATCACCACCCGGTCAGCTGGTGCCTGCTGGAGCTGGTGGCGCGCCGGCCGCCCGCCATCTGCTACTGCTCCGTGCTGCTGCGCGCGCTTGCCGCCACGCTCATCCAACATTGGTCCTCCACTACGGTTAGTCACGTAAACGGGGGTCTCCTGCAAAGTAAGCCTGAATTTCTGGCGATATGGTCAAGCTGCAAGCTATCACCAGCATGCTCACATTGTCGTCCTAGCGGGCAGATTAATTTGTCGTTGGATGACTTCTGCTCGCCCTGTCAGCCACTTCGTTCATAGTTACTGAAACCGCTACAAGTAATGCAAAATGTTCGTACAACACGTTTGCGCCATTCGTCCGCACCAGTCCCAGTCGACACGGACATCTTCACTTGTAAACGCGTGCTGCGACGTCACTAACGTGTGCAGTGACGTCACGACGGTGTGCGCGTGACGTCACGAACGTGTGCGTGTGGCGTTACGAACGTGTGCGTATGACGTCACGACTGTGTGCATGTGACGTCATGACTGTGTATGTACGTGACCTGATTCTGCGGCGAGAGGAGCAGCGCGGTGCTGAGACGGCCGGTGTGGGCCGGTTGCAGGAGACGCAAGCCTGCAACAGCGCCGGCCCGCTGGACGTGACCGAGCGGCTGCTGCACGTGATGGCGCTGGGCCAGCTGCTGCCTCCGCCGCTCACGCTCATCCCCGAGATGCTGGCCACGCTGACCTCGCACGAGGTGGGTCTGACGTCACACGGGGCCGGCGTAACCCACGGCGAGGGGTGTGACGTCATGGCAGGTGGATATGACGTCCGCGATCGCTCGCCAGTCTTCTCACACTCGGGACTCATTGGCATTTTAATCGTGTATGAGTGAAGCCTTTTCTGGTTAGGTCCACAGTCTGGTTTATCAGCCTCCGACGGGGTTGACCTGATGATAGAAGCCATAAGCCTCGTGGTAGATATTGAGATGGGACCCGGTCTGATGTGTCCCTCCACCGGCCTCTTCTGACGTGCCCTCCACCAGTCTCCTCTGACGCGCCCTTCACCGGCCTCCTCTGACGCGTACCTCCACCAGTCTCCTCTGACGCCGTACCTCCACCGGCCTCCTCTGATGCGTACCTCCACCAGTCTCCTCTGACGCGTGCCTCCACCAGTCTCCTCTGACGCGTACCTCCACCAGTCTCCTCTGACGCGTGCCTCCACCAGTCTCCTCTGACGCGTACCTCCACCAGTCTCCTCTGACGCGTACCTCCACTGGCCTCCTCTGACGCGTACCTCCACCAGTCTCCTCTGACGCGTACCTCCACCGGCCTCCTCTGACGCGTACCTCCACCAGTCTCCTCTGACGCGTGCCTCCACCAGTCTCCTCTGACGCGTACCTCCACCAGTCTCCTCTGACGCGTACCTCCGCCTCTGACGCGTGCCTCCACCGGCCTCCTCTGACGCGTGCCTCCACCAGTCTTCTCTGACGTGTACCTCCACCAGTCTCCTCTGACGCGTACCTCCACCTCTGACGCGTGCCTCCACCGGCCTCCTCTGATGCGTACTTCCACCAGTCTCCTCTGACGCGTACTTCCACCTCTGACGCGTGCCTCCCTGGGCCGCCGCCAGGTGTACCTGCTGCTGACAGACGTCTGGGCGTACATGCGCGAGACGGTGCCGTCGCCGGCGGCCTTCACGCACGACGCGGCCGGCGTGGCGAGCCGCTCGTTCCCGCCGCTGGAGGCGCGCTTCACGGCCCGCCTGCTGCTCGTGCTGCAGAACAACATGGCCACGCTCGGCCACCTGTTCCCGCAGGTACGGGCTGCCATCGCGCCGGCCGACTGACGGACGCGCGCCCGCTCGCCGACCGGACGCTAGCCACCTGTTCCCGCAGGTACGGGCCGCCATCGCGCCGGCCGACTGACGGGCGCCCGCGCGCCCGCCGACCGGACGCCAGCCGCCGCGCCCGCCCGACTTCGCGGCGTTCTGAGGTGGTGTGCGTGCAGGACCCCGGATGGGCAGCGCGGTGTTGGGCGCCCGGTGGCGGCGCCGCACGCCGCTCGCAAACAGCCGATACAAACGGGATTTATTCGCGGACATTCGGAACAAAGCAAGGATTAATTAATAATTTGCGGCGGCGCGGATGTGCTACACATGTTCCGCCGCAGGTAAAACAGACTTCGTCTGAAGGACGCTTGCGTCCACTGTTCATGTCACTGGCCGTATCACTAAAACCAAGCCGATAGGGGAGGTCGCGCATTTTATGCTAATAAATAAAGCTATACACCAGCACGCAACCATCAGCCTGTTGCTGCGCCTCGCCGACCAATCAACGGCGAAGGCGGGCGTCGGAAATAGCTTCCCACAGCGGTCGGGGCGGCGCCCTCATAACGGCACGGACCCCTCGGTAAACTGACTGGCCTTTGGGTAAACGGAGCGGACAGACGCTGATCACTGGACATTCCTTCGACGGCTCCGGGCCACTGTCCGGGTACGGTCGACAAACGAAGCCGGCACGGGGCCCGAGACCGGCTCTACAGCAATGACAAGTTTTGTACTGGTTATCCCTACCGAAGACAGACGTTCGTTTCTCGCGCGCCAGCGGCGGGCCCCAGGCGGGGACTGCGTGAAGTCTTGCGCTACTGGACCGGACGGCGCGGCCGCCTCCGCTGACTGCACAGCGGGCGTGACGACCGACCGCAGCTGCGGAGACGGACGGAGACAGCGGTTAGATGGCTGTCGGAGAGATGGCGCCACCGCCGCTCGGTCTGGCGGAGGCCGGCGGCGTAGGCGCCATGCTTGGCCGCACCACGTGTGCAGACGCGACTTCAGCTTCCATGCCGGTTCGAGGCGGGTGGCCACGCCGCGGACGGCGGCGGTGCCGCCCGGCCCAGCCGCGCGGGCTGCGGAGGGACCGGCGCTGGCGGCCCCAGCTCTGTCAGGCGGGCCAACGGCAGGACCGCAGCCAGCAGCTCACTGCTCGGTAGTGGGTGCAAGGCCCGACGGGCGGCATATGCAGCCACTGACAGCACCGCATTCGAGATAACATTCAGGGAAGACGTCATCTGGCCCACAATGGGATTTCGAAGCTCCCCTCCACCGCCTCTCCAGTGCATTGCCCTTCCCCGCACGGAGGTCCATAGCCAGAGCGGAACGTGAACACGCACCTAGGCCTGCATTGGCTCACAGTTGGCCTGTGCGTGCATGCCACCTGATGCCGAGGAACTCCAGCGTGTTGAAGGTCATATGGGCGGCGCCGACCGCCCCACTGGCCGCTTCGCTGTTGATGACCTCCAGCCCGTCTGCGGCAGGTCGGCGGCTCAGGTCAACTCCAGCCCGTCTGGCAGAGGTCACGTGACGCGACAGACCGCGTGCCCTCAGCCACAGCTGTCAGTCTTCATGACGACCTGGGTTTGAGGGCCGCGCGCCCGCTGCGTGGCTATGCGGTGCTCAGCGTCCGTCGTTTGCAGGGGAACAAGCCACGTACCCTGGCACCGTCTAAAACCAGCCTACCTGATGAGGCAGGTCCACCGAAACAGACGTACCGCCCGCAAAGTACCATCCACATCCACATCACCCGCAGCCAGAGACGCCACAAACAACACCGGCACGACTCGGCAGCTACTCTAAACACACGCGGCGTCACACGACGGCGGACATACCGGAGTCGCACGACTCGCCGGATGACTCATCAGGGTGGTGCAGCTCGCCCGCTGACTCACCGGAGTCGGGCGACTCGGCCGACTCGGAGAGCTCGGAGGCTGAGTAGCCGGAAGACGAGATGCTGGGTTGGCGCGGCGGCTCGACCGGCCGCCGCCGGTCCAGCAGCTGGCTGGCCAGCCGCCGCTGCTGCCGGCGCAGCTGCCGCTTGCAGCGGTGGTTCATCCGGTCCTTGTCCTCCAGGGACTGCCGGATGCATACACGGCCGTCGGCTGAAGCTCAGCACCGCGGACCGGTGGCCAACCCACACACACCGCGAGACCGGCGACGGCGACGGACCGACTGCCAACCGGTGTCAACCGCACAGCGCGGTCACCGCGCCGCCGAGCGAGTTAGCTCCGGCCGCTGAGTGAGGTCGGCGCTCCGATGCGTGGGACCCGGCTCGCCACAGAGTGGGGCCAGCCGGGGGCGACGCCAGCCCAATCCCAGTGTCGTGTTTGTCGCCCACTGTTTTGCCCTCCAGATCAACGCCAGCTGGCCGGTACGGTCGGTCGACGGCGCCGGTAGACTACGCTAGAATCTGAATACACATGGTTCTGGTGCAGAGACAGGGGCCCGTACAGAGACAAGGTCCTGGTACAGAAACAAGGGCCTGATACAGAGACAGGGGCCTAGTACAGAGACAGGGGCCTGGCACAGAGACGGGTCTGGTACAGTGACAGGGGCCTGGTACAGAGGCGGGGATTCGCGGACATTGGCCAGGCACAGGGAGGGGCCCGTGAAGAGCCAGGGGTCTGGTACAGAGACAGGTGTCCGGTACGGAGACGGGGGTATGGTACAGGGACAAGAGCCTGGTACGGAGACGAGGGACTGGTACAGAGACAGGGAACCTGGTACAGAGGCAGGGGCCTGGTACAGAAACAGAAAGTCTAGTGCAGAGACGGGTTTGCAAGGAGAAAGAGGTCCGGTACAGCAACAGGGGATATGTAATGAGACATAAGTCTGGTACAGAGAGGAGGTCCGTAAAGCGCCAGACGGCCGGTACAGAGACAATGGTCCAGTACAAGGGTAAGACATGGGTCTGGGACAAAGCAGTGATCTGAAAAAAGAGGTCCAGTTCAGAGACACCAGCTACAGCTGTGGGTCCGTCAGCGGCAGTGGACCGGCCCAGAGGCGGCCATCCAGCCACTGCCCTGCGGCGGCGGTCCCCTCGCCGAGCCCGGCGTCGGGCGAGGCTGAGCGGGCGGCGTGCGCCGATCGTACCGGATGTAGTCCCTGGCGCGCGTGAGCAGGCCAAGCGTGGTGTGGCGGCTGGCGTCGGGGCCCGGGCGGTACTGGTCCCGCAGCCGCTCCAGGCACCGCCGCAGGTGCGCTCGCCTGCCGGAGAGCACAGAGACCGGCCGACCTCAGGAGCCGGTGCCGGTGCGCGGGGACGCGCGCGCAAGCGACCGCCGGGGCGACGACGGCCCGCCGGGGCTCGCCGACGTGTGCCAGCTGTGTGCGGTTTGACACGGCATGGTGGGACTGCGCGGCAAAGTCACGCTGCCGATTCGATTAAGTCTTAACGTGACTGGGATCACATTACGCGGTACGACGCAAACATTCCACGCAAAACGCAAACGGGACCAACCATGAGCACGCACAAAAACACCGGTCATCCCACGCATACGGCTTCCCTGGCAAAGCAGGTACTTTCGCTCGTGCACGGTACCGAGTCGGAAGACCGCACAGACCACACAAACCAGTTTGGAGCAGCTGATTGATTAACTCGCCTTTAAACCCTACGTTAAACCAACGGTTGAAAGCTGTCACTGGCGCGGCAAAGCAATCAGCTCCTTATTCAAATCTCACAACACGCCACCATAGCCGCGACCACATGAATGACACAAAAACCGCCTCCACGCCAAATCGCCGCTCACAAATTCCAGCTCTCGCCGACGCCGTTCGCGCACCAGAGCCCCGAGCCCGACGAAATCCGCGAGATGCCCCTCGGGTGGGAAGGGGGGGGGGGGTCAGCCGCGCGGCGCTGGTGTCGGCCCAGGCTGCCGGGGTCGGACCGCCCCCGTGCAGAGCGCCCGCTCCGCGAGCAGCAACTCATCGCAGCCCGCAGAGTGGCCGCCGCAATCCTATTATTACGATCAGCCAATGGAAAGCGCCGCCCGCCGTGATGGATCGCGCGTCCAGTAACTAATAGCGCTTGAGCGGTGATGGATGGGCAGAGGCGGCGGCCGGGTGGGGCGCCGGGCCGGCGCTGGGGAGGCCACCGCAGGGCTGCTGCGGGCGCCGCCACTGCTGCCGCCGCCGGACCGGGGTCGGCGCGGCGCGGCGGCCTCTGCAGTCCGCTCGCGTTGGACACTGGGCGGCCCGACGCTCCGCGGGCCTGTCTGGCTAAAAACTCCGCACGCGTCACTACACGCCCCGGCAGAACCGCGCTGCCTCGGCGGTGGGTCCAAGGTACACGTAACCAGCTCTACTTACCACGAACCCCGCCCCCAGAGGTCATGCATGCAACCCGTTCGATCAGCAAGGGCACGCGGATCAAATAAGCACTGGCCAGACGCAGCGATGCAACGGACACGGCGTGGTATGGCCATGGCACCGCTGCCGGGCCGGCACCAGGCCGGCGCGGGCCCGGTCGGAGTCGGCACGTCCCGGCCGAGCCGGCCGTCGGTGCTGTCCCCGGGGTCAGGACATGACCGGGTCACAGCGAGCCTCGCCGTCCGCTCATGACCAACGCGAAGCTCGTGCTGACTGCTTCCCCCCTTCTCCGCGGCTCGGCGCGGCATCCGTCGACGAACGACCGAACACGTCGGCGCCGCCGGCAACCGACGCCAACTCCCGCCGACGACCTCGTTTTTTGCTGCAGACCGTGTGCGTCACACTATATGGGCAGGTGGTTATTTTCGCTGGACCGTGGCGGGAACGAACCGTTTTTAGTGCTGCTTCGAGCTCTGGGTCGGCAGAGGGCAAAAACAAAGCCATGAAAAACGAAAACGGTTGGCACTAGATTCGTCCTCTGCCCGGCGGCTTTCCATCACTCCACCGACACCTGGCAACGCCGAACACGAAATAGACCGGGCGCTAATTAGCAACACTATGTCCCAGCATAGCAACTCGCAGCGAACGCGTCACCGATCAGTGCGCGCTCCGCGCCGGCGCGGTCGAAGGGCGGTGCACTCTTCGCCGCTTCGACACCACCCTCGTCAGGTGATTCATGTCCCGCCCGGCCGCCTTT